GTCCTGTTCTAACATCTGGCATTTTCGGCCCAGCGCATGTGGAGGTGGGGAACAGGCCGGACAATTGTGGAGCAAAAACAAGCATTCTGATGGACGGCTCTTGGCACAGAGGCTTTGGATCATCAACTGGGCAACTTTTCAGCTCCTGCGATGCCATGTTGCGCCCGATGTGTTCCTCTTGAATTAAAACATGGCAACCGCACCACAAATGGACATCGGCTTGAACGGCAGGGCCTTACAGCCCCCCCCCCCCCCACCGCCCTGAATCCACAACCCTGATGTTTGCTTTCGGAAGAAATCCTTCTCATATTTGCAAGTGCAGAAAATAAACCGCGGCATTTGCTTGACAACTATGGCTGCCCGAGAAGGAAATGAATGTGCTTGATTGACAATCCACTGGAAGTGTTGTCGACCACAACATTGCTGGAGATCATCTTGCCTTCAAAAAAAATAAAAAAACAACTAAGCGAAGATGAACGGTGGATATCGCTCTCCGGTTGCACAGGGGAGAAATCCTTGCATACGGCCAGAATGCAACAACGCGAGGATAAAAATCTAAAAAAAAACACGATTTGAATCCAACATGAGGCCGACTGAGAAAGAGACTTTGTCGTTACCACGGCAACCCAGATCACCTGCTTCAGGGTTTGGCTGGGACGTCCCTCATATCGCTGGAATCAAGAGGGTGCGGCGAGCGCATTTAAGTCGTTCTCTGTGCTCCAGGCATGATTTACATCAAAGTTATTGTTAAAACAGCTTTCTGGGCGACTGCCTTAAAACGTTTTACCAGGATAGATTTTTTTTTTTTTTTTTTTTTAACGACCTGCAGCTAAATAGTGACCACATTTCCCAATTCTTCTCCAAACCTGATGATCGGAATAGAGTTGTAATCCCACAGCGCCAGTCCAAGTTAAGACAGATGGATGGTGAGCGGCAAAACTGCAATTTTATATCGTTCTTTGAAGTACTTCTCATAAAAATGTTGAAAAAAATTTTAACTTGTTAAATCCACCGCAGTTTCGAGCTACCACGCTTGTATTTTCATGATGGCCGACTGAGGTGACTGGAATGTACTTTGCGGGTTGAAAAGCTTTCAAACGTAGGATGTTGCTCGAAAGTTATCAGGGGGTAAAAGCTCACAATCGGCTTCCTCCTCTTGCGACCAACACGTACATTTTAGATTTCCTTCATCTAGGTGAGCTTGACAAGGACAAGGGACACTTCAGTCACTTGAGGCTACGCGCCACCTCCTTGACCCAAAGCAGGGACATAAAACAGCAATGTGAACTCACCTGTGCCAGTTAAACCGCCCGTCCTCGGTGGACTGGAAGAAATGGGCAAAGCGCGTGACCCAAAACATCCCAATTTAGTCACCGCATCTGCTAAATGCTAAATCTAAATCAGACTAAGCTTCACCCGTGTGGTTAACAACCAACCTCAGCTTTTGTTTCTTTCCATGCCTGACACTGACGAATGTCGCGACATTGTTGATAAAAATACCTTGAAAGTGAACAGAAGACCAAGCTGCTCCGTCTGGGGCCGCTCACATCCAACACACATCCTGCCCCTTTTCATCCCCCGGCAAACTCTTTCCTGTCTGAGAAACTCGTTTGTTTTAGTTTCCTGATGCAGCTCAAAACGACATTAGTATAAAGCAGGAGTGCCCAATACGTCAATCGTGATCGACCGGTAGCTCGCGGACTGGTCCCAAGTCAATCGCGAGGAGTGTCGAGGGAAAAAAAAAAAAAAAAAAATCCCAAACATTTGTGTCT